AAAAAAAAAATTAACAATATCATCTCGATCCAGCCAAGCCAACTATTTGTTATTTGATTACACTAAATTTCTGTGTTATATTTTTCCAAATCATATCTCATGAAAATATCAATTCACACAAAGTTGATGCATTGTTCTCTTCCTTGATATTTTGAAAAAATTCCAACAATTTTAACTAATGCGTAGAAGAATTCTACCTTCATGTCGCCAGCTCTCCTTCCAAACTTTTGAGTCAATACTGCCAATGAATCAATAGTCCCCTTTGGCTCAGGAGCAGGCCTGTTAATCTCAGCAAATGCCTCCCTTATCCGAGCACAATCAAATCTCAGTATATTATGACCTGCCCATATCCTCCCTACACACACGAGATAACAATCAAAGCCAAATAAGTGTTCAAAATCCCAAACATCCAAAAAGGAAAATTCCCATGAAACACATGAAATCAAAATAGATAAAAAGAACCTATCAAAAACTTTAGAAACTTCAGTATTTTAGGTGTCCATACCTATCACATATCTAGTTGAGTATAATCTGAAGAATAAACAATAAGAATGGTAATAACATCCAGTCATTAACTTGTAATGAACTAAATCTCTTCTAGATGATTATCATATTACCCTGTTTATATTTCCTTCTCACAAAATCAATGGTCTGTGAAAATAAATTCACAAGGTTTATCAATGCCCAGGATCCTAGGATCTCTCCAACCAAAAAATAATAAGAAAGCTAAACCTTCAATATAAGATGAAAGAACCTAAAGCGTTCCACTCAAATATTCATACACTTCTTATGTAAATCTAGAAATGTGCCATGGTTTGTACTTTGCATAACTTAGTTTGACTTTTTCAATCAGCTCAATTATTTGCACTCAAGCACAACGGTTTATTTCATATTCCAACATTGCATAATTGAAGCTGATAGTATTTCCAAACTCCTCCTTTAGAACATTAATGATTTTATCCACTAATAAAAAATGTTTATGGAGTATGCTCAAAAACTGAATTTGATCAAAACAGTCAAATAGGAAACTGCAAGCCCAAGGCATTTATATGAGCCACAAAAAATGATTTTGGAGTTCCACGCAATGTTTCCTTCCAAATTAGCTTTTCCACTTCCTTTTATCGTATTTCTATTAAAACTTCGATTTGCCATGCCACAACTCATGAAATCCTGCATACTTTTAGCATATAAATTAGTGCAGGCAATTAATCGAATCAAAATGAACAAACACATCAACCCCCAATATGCATCCCCCATAAATAAAATTGAAATTGGCATTTGACCATGAAGAATGTCGTAGACCGTATCAGCAATATCCATGAAAGTGGGGGCAGAAATTACAGCCTCCTTCGTAATGCCATTGCAGCGAACAGAGAGAGTTGAAATATGTGAGAGGTCAGCGGGTCGGACCAGGGTGGAGAAGCTCTGGAGCTCCACCAGCTTCCTGGGGCAAACCAAAATGGCTCCGAATTCCAATATAGCGAAACCCTGGCCAGATCGAGTCGGTACCGTCGTCTCCACATCAAAGAACGCAATTTCGGACCTGTCCTCGCTCGTTTCGCCCATTTTCAATTCAATTTCTTCTTAAATGAAACAATGGCGCCGAATTTGAAAGTGGCATGCGCATATATATATATCTGCAGTACGGAATCCGAGGTAGCTTGAAGATTTGTGTACGGTAGGAGAAGAAGAATATCGTGTGAAATTGAAATGCGACTTATGGAAGAGGGAAACGTGTGGTGTTACTTTTGTTCCCCTACACAAGGAATACCTCGACTTAAATTTTTTGACGATGATGTTACATGTACATCAAGATCTCCATATCGATATCCATCCTCTCACATGGAAGGGGCTCACTTCGAATAAAATGTAATTTATCTGAAGTGGGTCTCCCTTAATGTGAGAAGAGTGGACACCGTATTATGTACAATTAGCATATTCCATCTTTTGAATGCCATGTAAAATTGCAAAATTGTGTCCCTCTAATATTTATTTAAGAAACATGCAATAGAACAAGAGCCAACTTGAAAGAACCGATTTTGTTTATTTTATTAATTCTTCTTCTAGATAATTTATGTTTGTTAGTGTTCCAGCACGATCTCAAAATCAACTCTAAATACCTATTATATTTTAGAATTGAAATAGTCAGATCAATTACAAGTAAAAAATAAATAAATATCATCCATTCATTTTCCGATTAGATAAGATTTGACAAAGCATATTCTTGGCTTAATTTAGAGTATATCTCAAAATGGATTACATTCAAAGGCAATTAGG